AAACAGTACCTTGTTTTGTAAACCAGATCTATTCAATTTTTGTTAGTTTAAAAAATGAGGTCTTCTTTTTTTTTTAAAGATTTATTTATTTATTTGAAAGGCAGAGTTACAGGGTGGCAGAGGCAGAGGCAGAGAGAGGGAGAGGGAGAGGGGGAGAGGGCGAGGAGAGAGAAGAGGAGAGGAGAGGAGAGGAGAGGAGAGGAGAGGAGAGGAGAGGAGAGGAGAGGAGAGGAGAGGAGAGAGATCTTCCATCTACTGATTGCTGATTCACTCCCCAAATGGCCACAACAGTTGGAACTGGACTGATTTGAAGCCAGGAGCCAGGAGCTTCTTCCAGGTCTCATATGTGGGTACAGGGGCCCAAGTACTTGGGCCATTCTCTGCTGCTTTATCGGGCACATTAGCAGAGAGTTAGATTGGAATTGGACCAGCCAAGTCTCGAACTGGCACCCACATTGGATGCTGGCACTGCAGCCAGTGGCTTTATCTGCTACACCACAGCACCAGCCCCCATTGTGGGTACTTTTAAGTATTCATCCTTTAAAGTACTGAAAGATAGCACTGTGGAATAGCAGGTAAAGCCACCATCTGCAGTGCCAGCATCCCATATGGGTGCCAGTTGGAGATCCAGCCGCTCCACTTCTGAACCAGCTCTCCGCTGTGTCCTGAGAAGGTAGAGACAGCCCAAGTCACTGGGCCCCTGCATCCTCATGGGAGACTGGGAAGAAGCTCCTGGCTCCTGGCTTTGGACTGGCTCAGCTCCAGCAGTTGCAGCCATTTGGGGAGTGAATCAGCGAATGGAAGACCTCTCTCTCTCTTTCTCTGCCTCTATATGGCTTTGCCTTTCAAATAAATAATAAAATAAATCTCCAGGGCTGGCACTGTGGTGCAGTGGGTTAAAGCCCCAGCCTGCAGTACCAGCATCCCATATGAGTGCCAGTTCGCATCCTCTTTGCTCCTCTTGCGATCCAACTCTCTGCTATGGCCTGGGAAAGCAGTAGAAGATGGCTCAAGTCCTTGGGCTCCTGTACCTACATTGGAGACCTGGAAGAAGCTCCTGGCTCCTGGCTCCTGGCTTCAGGCTTCAGATTGGTGCAGCTCTGGCTCTTGCGGCCAACTGGGGAGTGAACCAGCAGATGGAAGACCTCTCTGCTTCTCCTTCTCTCTTTGTGTAACTCTGACTTTCAGATAAATAAATATTTAAAATTAAAATTAAAATTAAAAAGATATGGTAAATATGCTAAATTTGGGCTGAAGCTGCCTCTGTATGTAGCAAACTGCAACCTAACTTAAGAGTATATACTTGTACTCAGTAGGAGTCTTAGTCAATCACAGAGGTCAAAATTCAGCCATGCTGCCAACCAATCAGATCAAGCTGCTCTTGTAGGTCACTGTCTTTGTGACCTATCTATAAATCCTGCCTGGGGACCAGCATTGTGGCACAGCAGGAAAGCTACTGCCTGCGATGCTGGCAATCCATCGGGGTGATGGTTTGAGTCTTGGCAGTTCCACTTCCAATCCAGCTCCCTGCTGATGCACCTGAGAAAGCAAAGAAGGATAGCCCAAGTGCTTGAGCCCCTGCACCCACATGGCAGACCCAGAAGAAACTCCTGGCTCCTGGCTTCAGACTGGCCCAGTTTTAGCCTTTGGGGCCATTTCAGGAGTGAACCAGTGCATGGATGATCTCTTTCTGTCTCTGCCTCTCTCTCTCTCTGTAACTCTGCCTTTCAAATAAATAAATCAATCTTTTTTTAAAAAAATCCTCCTGCTCACATTGCAGTCCAGAGCAGAGAGCCTTACCCTTCCCTCCTCCCCTCGACACTGCCTCCCTGTATGCTACAGCATAACCCAGGGTGAAGAGGGGAGGACTGGGTCTGGAGCTGAGGGCAAGGCCCACCATTTACAGGGACTTGGTTTTTGACAAAGTGGCACGTTCTAGAAAACGGGAGGAAGGTGAAGATGGCAGGATTGGGGAGTATTAAAAGGTGGAGGGAGTTCTGGGGGAAAGGTGTGGCTTAGACTCCATAAAGATGGCCGTCTCCACGAAGAGCACCTTGAAGATCTAGGCAGTGAAGACCTGAATTCTTGCCTGGAAGTGGTGAGGAAACAGGGCCTGGCACAGTGCCTGCCTTTCTACCCTCTGACCCTGTGTGGTTTGGAGGTATCACCGATAGATTTGTGTAAAGAATTATGCAAAAAAGCCACAGAGTTAAAGCTTGCTTACTTCAGAAGCGGGTTCCAAAACAGAACCTGAAATAAGGGAGGGGCTGCTCCCTTTATCCAGAGTGACAGCAGCAAGGGCGCATTTACCCGAAACCAACGATGCTGGATGCTCTGCTCGCGCTGCAGAGGTGCCGCCCACACCAAGCCTTCCCAAGGCCTCTGGAGAGGCACATTTGCATCTGGTCACTGCGCTTGTGAAATCTGAACAAGCCAGATGATCCGGTACTGTGTGTGTGCACGTGAGGCTCTCACCTCCCACCTGTAAAATTATAAAAGCTTCCAGTGATGTAAAACCTGGATCAGATACCTCCTGCCCCCCAAGCTTTGAAAACAACTCCATTGGTGCATGTAGAATTGTGAGGAAATGGCAACTCAAATTAAAAAACAATAAGGTTAATCCCTAAAAATATTTCTGAGAGGATGATTTACAGATGCATCTCTTTGGGACAAAACCAAAATAACAACAGAATCCCCTGCTGATCACCTGGGATTCACTGACAGGCCAAGGACACCATCATCTATCCAATCTCTCCTCAAGGTCCCCTCCTCTCGCTGCCTCTACCCTCAACGTCTGCTTCCTCCTCTCCGTCTCCAGAAGGAAGACGAGCAATAGTCAGAGCTAACACGAGTGCTCATCATTTTCCTTGTACCACTCCGTTGACCTTAAAGTGCGTCTTCCTGTTCTCAGAATCAATACCATGGAATTCCAGTCCCTACCAGGATCTCAGTTTCTAAATGATCTTGCCAGAAGAAACATCTGATTGTATGACTCCCTTGCTTAGATATGTTCAGTGGCTCTCACTGCCCACAGCTCCACCTCCCTGGCCATTCTTTCAAAGGGAGTCATGCTTTGGCGAAACCAGGATTTCCCAAGTGTACCCATGTAGAAGACTTTGCATGATTTGATATCCATGCATACTTTTTTTTTCTTCTTTGTCTTAAAGATTTATTTTATTCACTTGAAAGCAGAGTTACAGAGAGAGAAACAGAGACAGAAACAGAGAGGTCTTCCATCCTCTGGTTCACTCCCCCAGTGGCCTAAACACCCAGGGCTTGACCAAGCTGAAAACAGGAGCCAAGAGCTTCTTCTGGTCTCCCTTGTGGGTAAAGGCACCCAAGTACTTGGTCCATCCTCTGCTGCTTTCTCAGGCACATTAGCAGGGAGTTGGATTGGAAGTTGAGCAGCCAGGACTCAAACTGGTGCTCATATGGGATGCTGGTGCTTCAGGTGGCAGCTTAGCCCACTATGCCTCAGTGCCGGCCCCTGGTTTTTTCCAATCTATGCACTTTCATAAACTTTTTGAAGGTACTTCATATGCATAAATTTATGGTTTTTTTCACCAAAATAAAGATATTTGAATTCCATTTTGTACTAACTTTGAAATGTACTCACAAAGCAATATTTATTCTAATACCATTTGCAACAGTAATAATTAGAAGCTACATAAACAACTACTAACAGTAAAATGGATAAATACTGGTAGACATTTGGCCTAGGGGTTAAGATTCCCAGATCCCATGTCATACTGCCTGGGTTTGATACCTGCCTCTGGTTCCCAGTTCCAGCTTCCTGGTAACAGACCCTGTGGCTGGTAATACACAGCTGTGGCTAGACCAGGCCGAAGCCAAGAGCCAGGAGACTCACGCAAATCTCCACATGGGTACAGGGGCCCAAGCACTTGGGCCATCTTCCATTGCCTTCCCAGTCTCATTAGCAGGGAGCTAGATCAGAAGCAGAGCAGCCAGGACTTGAACTGGTGCCCATATGAGATGCTGGCACCTCAGGCAGCAGCTTAAGTGCTATGCCACAATGCCGATCCCAATTAACATTTTTAACAAGTTGAGCAAAGATAGCAATATGCTCAGGTTTAACAAAGATCAAGATTTTATGATATTATTTTTTGTAACTTTCTTTAGGCTTGAAATATTTTAAAGAGTGAACATGGTAGAATCAATCCTGCCTGATTTTAACATTCCAATAGCTATGCTAGGATCTCAATATAGTAGCTATATATTGCATGATGTGACGTGCTTTTCTAACATCTTGAACTTGGGTAAGGATTGAAGAACATCAGAACATCATTTTCTACTTATTGCCTGGAAAAGAAAGAATTAATTTGAAATCAAGCAGTGCCTTCTGAAATTGCTTCAATAGGGCAAAAGAGTGAACACAGAGCAGCATTCAGTGAAAATGAGGGACTGATGGAGGAGAAGGTGAACTAGGCTGGAGGTGGGCAGAGGGAAAGGGAGAGCGACACTGATTAGGAAGCTGGAGGAGACAGAAACCAATGAAAAAAGGAGTGAATTAAAGGGGATACCTGGACAAGACCATCAGTTATGGAAGGACATGGAAGCGTGGTGGAGCAGGTAATTCTTTAAGTTACCATAGAAACTTTTAAAAGGCAGACTTTGACACTGAACGTGATTTTGCTTTCTCAGATCACAGAAGTTTACGATTACTAATGTTTTCTTCAACATCCTTATTTCAGAATGAGGGAACTGAGTCCCAGGGAACTAAGTGTCCCCACTGTTAAGGAAGCATAGAGCTGGAAGCAGCACTCACATCCACTGAGGGCACCCTGAAGCTGTGATTCCTCCACTTCACTGCACTGCGTTAATAAAACATGGCCTGCACGTACGTAACAAGAAGGGGTGCTGGTGGGAGGGGTGTGAGAGGGAAGTACAAAGCTCTCCCCCAAGACAGGAAAAGCCAAAAGAATGGTGGCAGCAGAGTGATAGAAATAGAGTTCACCTTTGAGGCATGTATCATCTTCCTCTTCTGTTTTTTTTTTTTTTTTAATTATTTCTTTATTCAAGAGGCGGGGAGACAAAGGGAAAGAAAGAGATCACCTCTGCTGGTTCACCTCTCAAATGCTCACAACAGAGCTGAGAACTCAGGCCAGGCCTTCGACTGTGTAACAGGAACCCAAGCACTTGAGCCATCATCTGATGCTCCCCAGTGTCTGAATTAACAGGAAGCTGGAGCCAGAACAGGGTATCAAACCCAGATACCCTGATATGGAACGCAGATGCCTTAGGCACTGGGTGAAATGCCTGCTCCTGTTTTGAAACCTTTTTGAAAGAGGCTCTCAGGGTTTGCTTTTCTGTTTTAGGTATGTTAATAGGCAAGTGATACGGGGAGTCCATAGATGGGGATTTGGGAGTGGATTATACTAATCCACTCTTAAGACTATTTTAGTTTCTGTCTTTCCAACAAAACATTCCCTGTTACACATTTGGTTGTGTGACATGCTGAACTGGAAGTTTCTTAGTTTTGTTAAACTGTGAAAGCATGTTATTTTCTAATGAAACATGTGTGTCAGAATCATATTTGGTCTACAGGAAGTCCCATGCATAGGAAGAAGCCAGGTGCACTCGCCCCTGTTCCTTTCCATGCCCTTGAGTTTTCCTGAAGAACTTCACTAGCAACCCTGGCTGTGCAGCTGGTGACAGACTCCAGCGTCAAGTGGCTAGCTAGGCTCATGAATGTGCCTTTGTTTGAGCAGAGTTGTGGGGCAGCAAGGGTCCCGTCCTGCCCAACACTTGCCATTTAAACCTCCCGGTACTGAGATTTATAACTTGGCTGGAACACTTTATTCGTCATACAATTTTGTGTCAAAGGATTACTTTTCACAAATTCTGAAAACAAACACATACTAAGTGAAAGCAAATCAAACATTTTATGTAGAGCCTGATTTTTCTCCCTTCGTAAGTTGTGTTCTCACTCTTTTTGGGGAAAGGATGCAATTAGGAAGTGGGCATTTCAATGAGACCTTTGATTAAAATCCAGTCATACTCTGGGCGAGCATTTGTTACATAATGCAGTTTTGGTTCCATTTGGAATCCAGCAAGAACTAAGACATTCACTTGGAAAAAGTGTGCTAATTTGTGTTCTTTCAGAGCAGTTCTCCTAAGAAAATTACCTGGGGTCCTAATAAATCATTTTGGGATTAAAAAAAAAAAACTCTGTAGAAAAAAAAATTACTTAATGTTCTAAACTGCAATAATTAATACACTTTCAAAAATAATGCCAAAAATATCCTGTAAATTAAAAAAAAATTCCATGAAATGTGAAGAAGCACTACCGTGCTGCTAAACTGGAGGATGAACACGGGCTCTGAAGTCCCCGGGCCCCTCCTATTCCCTGCATTGTTTTCCCCAGCATTTTCTCCAGCCCCATGGAATGTCTGAGGTCACACAATACAGTCCTTTGAATTACAATTGCTTTTTTGCAGCTGGAGCAAGGAGGAGTGGAAATGATTTTTCTAAACTGAATGCTGCTTTTAATTTTAATTACGAAATTTAAAATTAAGGCAGCAACATTTTTTAACGTTGGAATTCTATTTGGGGGAGAAGTGCTAGCTTAGTATGCAACTTACAGGATAAGCATGAGTTCAAAACTTTGTCATAGTTACCATGTCTCAGAGGAGATGGCTCTTGGAGTATCATGCTAGAATGAGGTCCTACCATAACACAACATTTAGAGGCTTTATTGCTTTAATCACACGTAATTACTCCATAAAATGATGTGCTATCCACTTAAATAATTCCGTTGGAAATGCCTGATGAAAAATAGTTCATTCAGGGAAAGAAATTACCTCCAGACAGAAAACTTATTATAGGGGCTGGCATTATGGCATAGCGGGTAAAGCAGCCACCTGTGACGCTGGCATCCCATCTTGGCACTGGTTCAAGTCCCGCCTGCTTCACTTCCAATGCAGCTCTCTGCTGATTCACCTGGGAAAGCAGCCTTAAAGGATGGCCCAAGTGCTTGGGACCCTGCATCCACGTGGGAAACCCCGAGGAAGCTTCTTGCTCCTGGCTCCTGGCCTCAGTCTGTTCCAGTTCCAGCTGTTGTGGCCATTTGGGGAGTGAACCAGCAGATGGAGGATCTCTCTCCCTGCCTCTCTCTATATAGCTCTGCCTTTCAAGTAAATGAATAAATATTTTTTAAAAACCAAAAACATATTACAGCTGCTCAGAGTCTAGTGAAAAAAAAAAAAAGAAACAAACGTTTTATTGATGTGAAGAGCAGGAGTAAAGAAACAAATGGAAAATCTAATCTTTACATAAACTACAACTACAGCCTGTCTTATAAATATTATTTGAGTTATAAGAAGAATGGACAACTCTGCAAGCAATCTTGCCACCCCAACACAAACTCTTTGAAAAGCAGTGCAAATTAGCCTTTTGTATTTTCAGCTGTTCATCCCATCCCTGTCAGCAAATTTTGTTTCTGGCACAAGACATTCTTTGTGTTCTCTTCATCAAGAAAAGTCAAATATCTAATTTGACTATTTTATGTTTTAAACATTTATTTTATTTATTTGAAAAACAGTTATAGAGAGGCAGAGGCAGAGAAAGGTTTTGCATCTGCTGGTTCACTCCCCAAATGGCTGCAACAGCCGGAGCTGGGCCAATCCAAAGCCAGGAGCCAGGAGCTTCCTCTGGGTCTCCCTTGTGGGTACCAGGGCCCAAGTACTTGGGGCATCTTCCACTGCTTTCCAGGCCATAGCAGAGAGCTGGATTGGAAGAGGAGTAGCTGGGATTGAACCAGCACCCATACTGGACACCAGCCCTGGCCCCGGCTGCAGGCTTCTGAAACTCCAACAGGGACTGGGGATTTGCTTCCAATACAGCTCACTTGCATGGCTGTGGGCAGGAAGCCTCACTGCTTGACCAAGGGTACCTCCTCACAGACTACTCAAGTGTCCTCCCAGCATGGCAGCAGGATTTTCCCACAGCACGTGAGCTGAGAGAAAAGCAAGAAGCTGCAATTTCCAAAGGCTAGTTGATGGACACTGTCCCTTATGTTTTCTCCTATTCACTGGAACTGAGAACCTTAATCCAGCTGACACTCAAGGGATGAGGAATTCGGTTCTCTTTATGAAGAAAATATCAATGAATTTGTGGGTCTGATTCCCTGTTCTCGTGTGTGTGTGACAGCACCAGCCTGCAGCCCCTCCATCTTGTACCCAATCTCTAATAAAAATGCCAGCAGAGATAATCCATACACAGGGCAGACGTATGGTGCAGCTGTTGCGCACATCCCATATCAGAGTGCCTGGGTTCAAGTCCCAACACTGGCTCCAGATTCTAGCTTCCTGCTAATGTTTATCTTGGATGATGGCTCAAGTACTGGTGCCCCTGCCACTCATCTGGGAGACCTGGAGTTAGTTACTGGCTCTCAGCTTTGGCCTGGCCTGGTCCCTGCTGTGATGGGATTAGAGTAGTGAACCAGCATGGAAACTCTGTCCATATGTCTCTCAAATAAATAAAAATAATCCATATAAAATTTTAAAAGATATTGTACATTGCAAAAATTGTAGAAGATAAAAAGTTTTGCCCAAAAAGTCACATCTTTTAAACAAAATTAGAGCTATAAAAATATTTCTCAGGAAAATCAAATGTTAATAACCACAAATGAAAACAATAGCAGAAGATCTTGCGGTTCGAATTTGAAGCTGACAGGGGCCGGCGTTGTGGAATAGTGGGTAAAGCCACTGCCTGCAATGCTGGCATCCCATATGGGTACTGGTTCAAGTTCTCGCTGCTCCACTTCTGATCCAGCCCCCTGCTTAATGGTCTGGGAAAAGCAGTGAAGATGGCCCAAGTGCTTCGGGCCCTGCTTCCAGCATGGGAAACCGAGAAAAAGCTCCTGTCTCCTGGCTTTGGCCTGGCTCAGCTCTGGCCATTGTGGCAGGGGGTGGAAGATCTCTCTCTCTCTCTCTCTTTCTGTCCCTCTCTGTGGTTCTTTTAAATAAATAAATACATAAATAAAAGAACTTGAAGTAGACAAAAACTGCATTAAAAATCAAATCTTTGGGGTCGCCGCCATGGTATAGTGGGTTAATCCTCCACCTGTGGTGTCCGTATCCCATATGCGTGCCAGTTCTAGTCCCGGCTGCTCCACTTCCAACCCAGCTCTCTGCTGTGGCCTGGGAAAGCAGTAGAAGATGGCTCAAGTCCTTGGGCCCCCTGCACCCATGTGGGAGACCAGGAAGAACCGCCTGGCTCCTGGCTTTGGATCAGTGCAGCTCCAGTCATTGCAGCCATTTGGGTAGTGAACCAGCGGATTGAAGACCTTTCTGGCTCTCCCTCTCACTATCTGTAATTCTACCTCTCACATAAAATAAATAAAATCTTAAAAAAAAATTTTTAAAATATTTGTTGTAAATTTGCATAGAAAAGAATAAATCCAAGTTAACAATATTCTCAATAAGATAGCAAAAGAAAATGGAAAAATGAGAGTACCATAACTGCAGAGAAGAATATAATTTAAAAATTAGCCTAAATGGCACACATTCTGAAAAATACTAACTTCAGAATCAACATTATTGGTATAATTCTGATAAAAATGCTTATCTTAGACTACAAAGTAAAAATGTTACTGAGATCAAAACAGTAAAGTCTAAGTATCTCTGGAGACGAAAGAGCTGTGACAATACATTCATTTACTGTCATTATAGTTATATATTCATTTACATAACCTTCCCAGGGGTGGCGGTGGAGGAAAGACTTCTCAAAGATTGACATCTAAAGCAGAAAGTGTAAAAGGAAAGGTTGATAGACTTGACTATAGAAAAACTGACACAACCCAACGTGCTACAATTAACAAACATAGAAATATGATGAACTTGGAAAAATGACTGCATTTGATCAACAAGGACTTGATATATTTAATATACAATATATTTACTATCACATAATAGGAAAACTCTAACAGAAAAATAAAAATATGCTCCCATAACAGAAAATAGCAAATAAAATTCTGAAGAAATCTTTATTATTCTTACTTCGCAATTAACAATACAAATTAAAATAACAATGCAGGGAGCCAGTGTTAGGCAAAGCTGCCGCCTACAACACTATCATCCCAGTTGGGCACTGGTTGGAGTCCCAGCTGCTCCACTCCCAATCCAGCTCCCTACTAAGGCCGTGGAAAGCAGTGGAGGATGGCCCAAGTGCTTGTGCACCTGCACCCATGTGGGAGACCCGGGTAAAGCTCCTGGTTCCTGGCTTTTGGCTTCAGAGTGGCCCAGCCCAGCAACTGAGGCCATCTGAGGAGTGAACCAGTGGATGGAAGATCTCTCTTTCTCTCTGTGTCTCTGTAACCTTGTCCTTTTTTTTTTTTTTTAAGATTTATTTATTTGAAAGGCAAAGTTACAGCGAGGTGGAGGCAGAGTGAGAGAGAGAGAGAGAGAGAGAGAGAGAGGTCTTCCATCTGCTGGTTCACTCTCCAGATGGCCACAACGGCTGGAACTGTGCCGATCTGATGCCAGGAGCTTCCTCCGAGTCTCCCAGGTGGGTGCAGGGGCCTAAGTACTTGGGCCATCTTCCACTGCCTTCCCAGGCCATAGCAGAGAGCTGGATTGCAAGTGTAGCAATCCCATACGGGATGCCAGCACTGCAGGCGGTGGCTTTACCTGCTACACCTACAGCACCGGCCCCAATCCTGTCTTTCAAATAAATAAATAAATCTTTTAAACAGAAAATAAATATGGAAGTAACAAAAATATACTATAACAGGGACTTGATTAAAATTTTTAAGATGTGTCATAGAACAAAATTCTGTTGTGCATTAAATTGGTGTTTTAGATGAATATTTACTTATATAAAAGGACATTAATATGTAAAAGAAATGTTACAAATGTCATATACAATTTTTTGTTACAAACGAATGCAGGATATTCTAAGGTCACCTCTGGGTGATGAAATTAAAGGTGTTTATTTCTGCCTTTTTCTTTCCTGTATTTTCTGAATTAAACAAATGGATGTAGATTGCTTCCACCACTAGAAAAAATTTAATTTAAAAATTATTTTAAATATAAAAAATGCAGCTCCTGTCTGGCGCCGGGCAGGGGTGGTTAGCTCAGCCCCGCTATCCGTGGAGCTGCGGCGCCTCTGAGCTGCGCCCTCACTGTGGTCCATTTCTGGGGCCCGGGAGTCTGCAGGTGCGTGGACGCACGACGCCATGGCGGCGCTGGCCAAAGGACCTGTGTGGGGTTCGAAGCAGAAGCCGTTCCTGAAGCGTCAGAAAAATAGGACAGTTCTGTTCCCACCTTTCTGTTTCTCAGGAATTCTCAGAATTCCTGAAACGCACGTGCCCCAGCGTTGACCACAAGTCAGCGAAGGCGTCTGGGGGAGGACCCCCGCCCCGGCACCCTGCCTGCAGGTTCTGACGTCTCAGATGAACAGGTGACAGCGCTGGAAGCAGGAGATGAGCTACAGGCCGTCTGCCCTACGGCCCCCAGTTGGAGGAGAGGCGCCGTGTGCTGCTCCTCATGAAAGCAAACAAACAGGAAGCAAAATGCGGGCTCAGCAGAGAGATTCTGGAAGCCCTGGGTGGGACTGGCGTCCAAGCACCGGAGGGCGAGGCCGGGCCAGCAGGACACAGCGGCCTGGGACCGGCGGGCTTGCGGGAGGCCTGCACACGGAGGAAAATGGTGAACTGCTGCCTATGCTGAGAGCAGAAAATTGAGAAATGAAGGCGGTGCCTGCCTGCTGCCAGGAATATTCAATTCCAGGGAGCAGCTCACGATGTAGTCCTCAGAGATGGACCGCGAATAAGAAAATGCTTCTTTTTTTAAAATTTTTTAATTTTTTTTTTTTTGACAGGCAGAGTTAGACAGTGAGAGAGACAGAGAGAAAGGTCTTCCTTTGCCGTTGGTTCACCCTCCAATGGCCGCTGCGGCCGGCGCACTGCACTGATCCAAAGGCAGGAGCCAGGTGCTTATCCTGGTCTCCCATGGGGTGCAGGGCCCAAGCACTTGGGCCATCCTCCACTGCCTTCCTGGGCCACAGCAGAGAGCTGGCCTGGAAGAGGGGCAACCAGGACAGAATCCGGCACCCCGACCGGGACTAGAACCCGGTGTGCCGGCGCCGCAAGGTGGAGGATTAGCCTAGTGAGCCACGGCGCTGGCCAAGAAAATGCTTCTTAGTTCTGCTTTGTGTATTTCCCAGGGCCATGCTAAATCAATGTATGACATGCTTTTTCTACCCAAAATAGAAGGCAATAAACATATTCAAATTCCATTTTAAAATATTTTAAAAACACACTCAATTGTAATTAGAAGGATGCATTGTTTTGTTTTGTATTGATACAGGGTTTCCTGTTATGTACACTTTCTCTTTTCCTGATGAAGAAAGCATAATTAAAAAGAAGAAGAAGAAGAAGAAGAGAAAAGCTGGCTAAGATCTGGGAACAGGCTGTATCTACTACCACCTCCTGTCCAATTCCGCCCTCACATCTCGGCTCCATCTCCCATTCCTAGGATCACCCTAAAAACTTAACCAGACTACTAATTGGCTCATGGAAGGTAATGATGTACAGGTGTAGACTGCTTAGGTCACCCCTTTATGTTAAGACTGACATACAAGACTTAGGGTGTGATAGTTTACTATTTGCACACACCCAGGTTTTTTTTTAATGAACGATATTAATATTTATTTGAACAGGGAAACTGCAGTTTCTTTAAATTGGACCGTTTTATTTTATTATTTTTATAGAAAACTTTTAATATATAAATTTTGAAAGTACAACTTTTGGATTATAGAATTCTTCCCCCCATATCCACCCTCCCACCCACAAACCCTCCCATCTCCTACTCCTTCTCCCATCCCATTCTTCATTAAGATTCATTTTTGATTATCTTTATATACAGAAGATCAGCTTAGTATATACTAAGTAAAGATTTCAACAGTTTGCACCCACACGGATACACAAAGTATAAAGTACTGTTTGAAGACTAGTTTTAACGTTAATTCTCATAGTACAACACGTTAAAGACAGAGGTCCTACATGGGGAACAAGTGCACAGTGACTCCCGTTGTTGATTTAACAATTGACACTATTATTTATGGCATCAGTAATCACCCAAGGCTCTTGTCATAAGCTGCCAAGGCTATGGAAGCCTCTTGAGTTCACAAACTCCAATATTATTTAGAAAAGGCTATAGTCAAAGTGGAAGTTTCTTCCTTCCTTCAGAGAAAGGTTCCTCCTTTTTCAATGGCCCCTTCTTTCCACTGGGATCTCTCACTCATAGAGATCTTTCATTTAGGTCATTTTTTGCCAAAGTGTCTTGGCTTTCCATGCCATGGGCTTTTTAGCCAGATCCAAATGCCTTAAGGGCTAATTGTGAGGCCAAACACACCCAGTTTTTAGATTTCCAATTTTATGTAAAAACAACAAATATTTTTCCTGATTCTATTTACAAATAGTTGTTTTTAGTCTAATTATGCTCACTAACTTAATGTACCAAAATATCTTTTGGGACCAGTGCTGTGGCACAGTGGGTTAATGCCCTGGCCTGAACCACTGGCATCCTGTATGGGTGCCAGTTCAGGACCCGGCTGCTCCACTTCCAATCCAGCTCCCTGCTATAGCCTGGGAAGGCAGTGGATGATGGCTGAGTCCTTGGGCCCCTGCACCCATGTGGGAGACCTGGAAGAAGCTCCTGGCTCCTGGCTTTGGATCAGCACAGCTCCAGCTGTTGAGGCCATCTGGGGAGTGAACCATCGGATGGAAGACCCCCCTCTCTCTCTTCTTTCTGCTTCTGCCTTTCCTCTCTCTCAAATAAATAAATCTTTTAAAAAAAAATCTTTTAGAATATGGTAAGAAATGAAAGTAAACAGACTTTAAATGAATTAGTAAAAGCACTATAGCACTTTTTCTTTTCTTAGATTACTTACATAATAGATATAATTAATTAATGTGAAAGAGCAACAGGGGGAGAGAGAGAGAATCTTCCATCTGTTAATTCACTCCCCGAATGCCTGCAACAGCCAGGACGGGGTCAGGCCAAAGCCAGGAGTCTAAGATTCCATCAGGTCTCCACATAGGTGGCAGAGACCCAGGTACTTGGGAGATGACCTGTTGCCTCCCAGGCATGCTAGCAGGAAGCTGGGTAGGAAGAAGAAGAGCCAGGGCTGGAAGCATCCCAAGCTGTGGCTTTACCTGCTAGGCCATAATGCCTGCCTCTACTGCTTCTATTTTTACAATTTTTTTTTTTTTTTGACAGGCAGAGTTAGACAGTGAGAGAGAGAGAGACAGAGACAAAGGTCTTCCTTCCGTTGGTTCACTCCCCAATTGGCCACAACGGCCGGCGCTGCACTGATCCAAAGCCAGGAGCCAGGTGCTTCCTCCAGGTCTCCCATGCGGGTGCAGGGTCCATGGGATTTGGGCTATCCTCCACTGCCTTCCCGGGCCACTGCAGAGAGCTGGACTGTAAGACGAGCAACTGGGACAGAATCCAGCGCCCCAACTGGGTCTAGAACCCAGGGTGCCAGCGCCGCAGGCGGAAGATTAGCCTAGTGAGCCGCAGCGCTGGCCTATTACTTCTATTTTTAAAGAAACCTTTTTTATTTTGGAACTGTGAAAAACTATTTCAGCACATTTTTAACCTACTAAGGCCTTTTGTTGTTTTTCTTTTATGTCCAATTCCAGCTTTCATTTTGAATAACCTAAAAGTAAACTGTTTCTCACATGGCAAAAAAACCATTCTGAGTTATCTAAATGCCACACAGAATATCATTTTGGATGCCACAAGCTTTTGCCTTTTTTAAATTCTCAATGTCAAGCTATAATTTCCCTTTTCCAGTTTTATCCAGAACCTTTAAATTAACAACAAAGAAACTAAACAGGAAGTTACATTTCTCTGATCTAGAAAATTAGGAGGAAGATGGGGAACAGATGAGAAAACTGAATCAGGAAAAGGAAACCTCCATGCCTTATTTGCATTAATCAAAGTCATACATTCAAAATCTTCCTAGCGTCCTAACTAAAGAGACCAGATACCAGAAAGAAGGAGAGTGTATCTTCCCAGCTGTCTACAGGTCATGATGAAAGGAACAAAATGACCACTTTGGATGAACCACTGAGGATTCAGAATCTATTTCAAAAGAAGTCCACAAAAGTTTAAACAGTGCTCCTAGCTAATGCCCTAGAACATTTAACTGACATTTCCAGACACTGTGAAAGAAGGAACTGTCAGCCTGAAAATCATGCCTTGGTCAAACATCAACGTATCTGAAACCATGACAATAACTATTTCCATGGCAACTAGGATACACAAAAATACTAGATTTCTGCTTCGTTTTTCTAAATGCTGTTTAGGAGCCAGTTTTGTTTAAGAAGCTAATCAAGGTTAAAACACTTAGTTCAGTTAGAGCAGTGGCCTCTAGACTTTGGGATTTCATAAAGCAACCAAATTTCCCCTGATGAATGAATTGGATAGGAGTGAACATGAAGTTATCAACTTTTTCATTTTACCAAAGAAGGATATACAAAAGCTCAACCATACTGTACATTCACTGGTATTTCATAAAAGAAAGGATATCTTAATAGGGGAAAAATAGCAGGAAGCAAATAATGTCACAATAAAAAATAGTTTCATAGAGGAAAAAAAATTATGAAAAAATGAGTACATTTCTGCAAGATAAATTCTAACAAACACAATAAACTAGTGTTTAGGTATCACTGGGGGTCACTCATTGAATTAAGGTAATCAATTTCCCATGTTTGATTCCCACATAAACTAGTGAAATGAAATTTACTTAGAATGTGTGTAAGTGTAAATTATTCACTAATTCTTTCATCCATTCCACAAGTGCTTCCTGTGATCTCTTACCTACTAGACTCTGCTGGTGATTATGAAGCAGATAAGATTGTCTCTTCTCAGGGAGCAGAGAAAGAACTAAAGTGTCGGACAAAACCTTCCATAAGGGAGCACAGGTACCTCAAGGGTAGAACAGGGAAAGGTCATGGAAGAGGTGACGTTGAAGGCACATGGATTTCAATATCCCATGTTGGGCATTACAGAGGGAGGCTAATAAGATTAGGCAAACCAATAAGCCTTGGAAAGGGTTAAACATCTTTAAGCTTCTGAAGGTAGTCTGACGTGGTATCATCTGGATCTAAGGAGGACACTGGGGACATGTGTCTGACCATTTCACAGAGGATCTCAAAGGCAGGGCGAATACTTAGACTCTCTCTGGTGAGCAAGCAGGTAGGTGAGGACGGAAACATTCAGGAGCTGTCAGTTGGAGTGTCAGTTCTGCTCTTTCTCGTAAAACCTTGAGGAGTTTCCCTCATCTCTCTGAGCCTCCATTTTCCATCTATAAAACGAGGTAGAAGCCTATGAGCATACTTCAAAAAGTTCATGGAAAATGGAATTAAAAGATGTTTACTTTGGTACAAAAACATTTGGAAATACACGGAACAGTTTTTCATAATAAGCATTTGACTTTTTGAAGACCCTGTGAATGCTACGTGCTATTTTATGCTTAAATAAGATGCAGTGGGCAAATGTTTAGCCTAGTGGAGTGTGGGAGCTCAATATCCAGCTCCAGCTCTTGACTTCAGCCTCCTGCTAATGTAGTCCTTGGGAGGCAGTGGTGACAACTCAAGTAATTGGGTACTTGTCACTCATCATGGAGACATGGGTTGAATCCCCAGATCCTAGCTCTGGCCCTGGCCCAGGCCCATTTGTTGCAGGCATTTGGTGAGTGAACAGCAGATGGTAGCAGGCTCGTGTGTGTGTTCTCTTAGTCTCTGTCAATCTCTCTTTGAAATAAATAAATGAAAACTTCAATAACGAAAATGCAGTTTATGAAAGGCCTAGTAGTTTCAGATACATAGTATGAAATCACTAAAGTTTTATGACTCTGGATATTTGTTGAATCATCAAAGTTCAGATTGGGGAAGATTAAGATGTCCACTGGTAAATTCAGAAGTAAAGACTAGGGCCGGCGCTGTGGCGCAGCAGGTTAAAGCTCTGGCCTGAAGTGCCTGCATCCCATATGGGCGCTGGTTCTAGTCCCAGCTGCTTCTTTTCCGATCCAGCTCTATGCTATGGCCTGGGAAAGCAGAAGATGGCCAGGTCCGTGGGCCCCTGCACCCAAGTGGGAGACCTTGGAGAAGCTCCTGGTTCCTGGCTCCTGGATTTGGATTGGTGCAGCACCAGCTGTTGCGGCCATCTGGGGAGTGAACCAGTGGATGGAAGACCTCTCTCTCTCTCTGTCTCTACCTTTCTCTGTAACTCTGTCTTTCAAATAAATAAATCTTTAAAAAAAAGTTTTCTGGACTTAAATGGGAGTGAATGAGAGAAAAATGAGAAACTCATGGGAATGGAAAAGAGTAGATAGAAGTGGATTGCTTGGACAGAGTAGGATTAGCAGGGGTGGGAGGATCTCAAGAATGACCCATTTGAAGCACAGAATGGACAGCATCATTAGGAGAGATTGAGATTAGAAGCCAAGTGAGGGAAATCGAGTGAGCTTGTTTTAGATCATGTGGAATCTGATCCTAGGTCTGTATCTGGGTGAAGATGACCTACAGGCATTAAGAAGTCCTCAAGGGAGGGGACAGGAGATGAGATACTGATTAGAAAATTGCCTGCCATGAAAACAGCACTGTGATCCCAGGGAGGGAGAGACAGGGAAGGAGGGGCTCAGAGACAGAGTCTGGAGTAGCTCCTCCACTGGGCAGGTGAGCAGCAGAGAAGGGATTCGGAAAGTGAGAGAGGATCAAGGGCCTGCTGGAGGGCCACAGAACCTGGTGGAGAAGATGGTGTTAGGAACAAGGGGGCGATCACCAGTGGTGCTGCATGTCCCAGAAGCCAAAGGGGCAGGAGCCCAAGAGTCACAGCAAGAAGTGTTGTGCAATGGCTTTCACGAGAGCAGTCTCAGTGGGGTGGCGAGAGCACAGCTACAGTGCTAGAAAGGTGAAAGGCTGGTTTAACAAAACATTCATTTATATTTTGAATATGTAAAGAAGCTTGTGAATCCAAGTGAACCAAAGCTACCAAAACATCTGGAGAAAAAAAGTTGGGTCTCACAATGACTCTGCAGGTTTCTGGGAATTTTCAGGATACACCATGAATATATATATATATATATATATATACACTCCTCTTTTAGAGACTGAAATCCTGAATGGTGGGCATCTGCTGATGTAGACAGATGTCACCTTCTGTCACAAACTGCTGGCACGGGGTAGCCTGGGAGCTGCCTGGCTGAACCCCATTCTTCAGCAGTGGAAATCTGACAGCAGAGAAGGCTTGTGTGTTCTCCCAAATCACATGGCAGAAACGAACAGTACTGGAACCAGAGTCCGGACTCCTGCCCTGTGTTCTTTCGATACTTCCCAACACTTTCCTGCCTTCGGTGGTGTTTAAAAATGATGGACACCTTGCTCATTATTGGAGCCAGAGGGAGAGCAGCTTCAATAGGGAATAAATAAAGGGAACACATCCTAGGGAAATCTCGGTGCTGTACCTGGGGACCCAAGGGTCAGGTTTCTCTGTTTGGTATCTGACACTGACTCATGGTGGGAGCCTGGGAAGTTATGCGGCCTGTGTTTCAGTCGTTCCAGCCACACACTTGGCATCATACCACACAAGCCTCACTGGAATTGTTGTGAGGGTTGATGAGGTAATCCTTATAAAAATCTGTTAGCTATCGGGATGAAAGCCACAACTGTGTCTAGAAATGATGGACAGTCAGACACACAGCACAGACTCTTCTGTTGCACATTGGTTAATTAGCTGCTGTTACACTTCAGCCAACTTGACCTCTTGCTGTTGTCAGTTAGCTAAGCATTTCCTATCTCCACCCCCTCGGGCATTCTCAACTTGGTTCACTCCAAGTTTTCTTTTTCTAGTTCCCTGAGATTCAAAATAACCTAAGGTTTTCACCACTTAAGACCTTTGCCCCTTGGTTGCTCAAATAGCAAGTGCGAATAATAACATCCCTGTGGTGAAGATGAAATAAAGTAATATATGTAGACAGCGCCTGATCCATAGGACGTGCTCCACATTAGCTGCAGTGAGGCTATGCATACACGCTTTCTATTTAAGTAAACAATATGAGGTCCAATGTAGGACTCACTGCTTTAGTAGTTCTTTGCATTTGAGGGGACAGATGAAGTACCAAGGTTTCTAGCTTCAGAGATACACACGCAACAAGGTACGGGATCTGGGCTGCTCAGGCCATACGATCTCCAAGTATTCTCACTAAACATTTGCAGCTTCAGTTGTCCTGTTCAAAACTGCAACCTCAGCACCTGGGTGCTCAGTCACTACTGGCTGATGAATGAGTGAATGAACTTAGGGAATCTATCCAAAGACAGAGAAAATAGAAGATGGCCGTAAGGAAAGAAATCTGGCCACATTTTGGATTTTCCAGGAGAAATGAGAAAAACATTTAAAAATGGAGAACAGAGGGTTGGGAATTTGGAAATGTGAAGAACTGTTGCTCGGTGCACAGAGATCTTAAGCCTGGGGTTAAAAAGTAGCTGTGCGGTTAGACAAGCAGGCCCAAAGAGCCACCCGGCCTCGGTTTTGTTTTCAACAAAGTCCGATACCTTAAGGAGGCTGGGGAGAGCATTTCTTCTTGACAGAGATATCCCACAGAGATTTCTAGTTCTGAAAGGATCATTCTGAAGGTGTCACAAAGAACACTCTATTACAGTGTCTGTCTCCCCGAACACGAATCCTTCTTCTTTGTTCTCAGGGTGTTTCCCTGTTCATAACGGCCTCCTCCCATGACCCCGAGTCATTTCACAGCCTCCCTGAAAGTAACAGCTGCTCTTTGTTACTTATGTTTCCCCCTTTCCTAAACACCCTCCTCCCCAACTTGGGCCAAAGTAACACCATCCCTGCTAAAGCACCACCACCGAGTCAGAGGACCAGTTGGAGTAGCTGTCTTTGTTCCCCCTCTTCCTCATCTTGTTTACCTAGCTTGAAATACTTTTCAATGAAATTCAACAAGCACTTACCCAGAACACACTGAGCAAAGCACCATTCTAGGTCCCAGACATAGAAAGGTGATTAGGCGTGAGAGCCTCGAATGGCCTCACAGATTATTATGACGACTGGCAAAAGACTTAAGCATCTCTCTTCAACCTTTCTAGGCTGCAGGTTTCTGATAATTTGATTTGTGTGCTTGAGAATCCAGTTGAAGTTGTTCTTGATATTACGTTTAACAGAACTCTCCAAGGCTACCTAGGCACATATATTCCCTGCACATGCTGTCTTACAGTACTCACCGCTTTTGCATGGTATTGTATTTATTTGTGGACACTGTTGGCCTCCATGATCCAGAAAGGGAACAGGCACAGGGAAAGGTGCTTGAAGAGCGGAGCCAGATTTGTGCTTGAATTTGAAGCCAGACTTGGTTATGCGTCAATTATGAAATCTTGGCCATGTCACATAACCTCCACGGTCCTCAGTCCTGTATCTAGAATTAGAAGAAAATAATCATTCTTATTTAGTAGAATGAATGTGGAAATTAATTTCTTTTTTTTTTTAAAGGTGTATTTGTTTGTTTTGAAAGGCCGAGTTACAGAGACAGAGAGAGGGAGAGACAGAGATCTCCTGGTTCACTCCCCAAATGGCTGCAATGGCCAGGACTGGGCCAGGCCAAAACCAGGAGCCAGGAGCTTCTTCTGGGTCTTCCATATGGGTGCAGGGGCACAAGCACCTAGGCCATCTTCCACTGCTTTCCCAGGTGCATTAGCAGGGAGCTGGATCAGAAGTGGAGTAGCCGAAATGTAAACCACCACCCATACGGAATGCTAGTGTCAAAGGCAGCAGCTTTACCCACAACAACACAATGTTGGCCCCTGGAAATTAGTATTCATATGAATATACTTTGTGAACTACTGTCTATGTAAGTTTTACTATTCCTACTAGCAAAGGGCCTTGCCGATAAGGAAAACACTATTAATTCTTGAAAAAAATCACGTCAACCACACTGCAGCATAGTATCAGCATCACGTATGTTCTGATCCTGTCTCAGACTGTTGACAGGTCTTATGTGTAGTGTCCCACCAGGTTCAGGGAGAAATTCAACAGAATCCGAGGGGCTTGCTAGCTGGTAGAACTGCCGTTTTAGATAGTAGAGAACAAAAGAGGCACTAGTAGTTGAAAGCTCGGGCTTTGGAGTCTGCTAGTGCTATGTTTAAATCTTGGCTCTGCCTTCACGAGTTGTGTGATGTGGGTTAATTTCAATTTTCTCTGAGCTTTTGTTTTCTCATCTGTAAAATGAAGATAATACAGGGTTTTATGATTAACAGTAGAAAATGTATTAAAATGGAATGCTGTGAGATGAGTGAATCAGGTGAGCTCAGTATGTGTTAAATGCAACAAGTTCGTTACCCTCAGACTCTAAACATTAACTGAGCATTTACTACCGTACAGGTGCTGGGGACAGAGACCCTGCCACCAACCATGTCGTCTAGGACAGACAAGTGAGTGATGACTGTCATAGTCGTGGGAAGTGCTATGACAGAAGAACGGGGTGCTTTGGGAGGCACCCGTGTGACAACCCTGACTGCGAAGTTGTCAGCAGCTATCAGGGAAGGCTTCCTGGAAGGAGTGACTATGGCGAAGAGGCCGCAAGGCTGAGGAGGAGCAAGCCAGGTGGACAGAGGGACCACGATGGACAAGCACACGCGTCCCTTTGGGACGACAGGCCGACAAGACAAAGGCGTAAAGCTTTGCGGAGGCCAGATCACTAAGGTCATCAGTGTGCTTTGAGGCAAAGGGGTCGGCCTGGGCGGAGGTGCCCCTTGACCTAGACCCCGCAAGCGGAGATTTTCACCAGATGGACACAGGCTTGCAGCGCCACAGATCCCGTCCCGGATAAGCCCGTGTGTGACTCAATCGCCTCACCTCTCCGTAATCTCGCGGTCAGCCAGAGATAACCCCTAGCCCCTCAGGGTCACTGCGAGGACCAGGTAGGGTCGCGCGGGTCAAGTTCGCAGCAGAGCGTGCGCCACACAATAAGCGCACTCTCAACAAATCAGTTCTCTTCGCTGAGCCAGCGTGTGGCGAGACTACGAACGCCACGGCGAGGTTTCCCTCTCCCCTCCCCTCCCTTCCCCTTCCTCTGCCAGCAGCGGCCGCGGCGGCCGAGGCGAGGACGCGGGCGCTGTCCACTCGAGCGACACTCCCGACGCCCGCCCGGAACGAGGCTGCGCATGCTCAGTGCGCCGGCGGCCGGCGGGGCGGGTGCGGGCGGGGGCCGGGCGCGCCAGCGCGCATGCGCGGGGCCCGCAGCGGCTCCTTCCATCCAGTGCCGCAGCCGGAAAACCGCAGCGGCGGCGGCGGCGGCGGCGGCTGAGGGGGAGCGCCGGGGCCGGGCGGCAGGAGCCGGGAGGGGGGAAAAAAAATTACAAGGACGTAACTGATAAGGCAGGAGCTGAGGGCTTGGGATTTGCGGCGACTCCCGGGCCACCGCCTTGGCCGTCAGCAGGGAGGAAGAGCCGGGAGGCGGCGCAAGCGGCGGCGGCGACGGAGGGCAGCGCTGAGGCGGCGGCCGGCGGCCTGCGAGCCGCAGTGATTTTCCTTTTTTTTGACGTTTTCCTCAGCGTCGTCGGCCGCGCCGAGTGGGCCGCCGCCCCCGGAGCCCCTCGCGCCCCTCCGCCCCGCGGGGCCTGAGGGCTCGCCCGGCTCCGAGCGGAGGGGAGCGGGAGAGAGGGCGCGCGGGCCCCGCGATGGCGGGGACATTTTCCACAACGTGATTGTGAAGGACTCCCCCGCCCCCCGCCCTTAAAATTCCGGGCCCTTCCAGCCCCCACCCTCCCCCAGGCCCGTGTGACTAAACCGAGACAAAGAGGAGGCGGCCTCGCTCACACGCGCGCTCGCGGGGCGTGGGGCCCGGAGGGGCGCGGGGCGGGCGGGCGGACGGACGGACGGACGGACGCGGCGCCGCCACATTCCTATGCCCGGGAGCGGCGGCGGCGGCGGCGGCTCCCGCGGGCGGCGGCAGGCTCGCGGCGCGGACAGCTGAGCGTCTTCTCCCGCGTCGGCGGCCGGGCGGCCTCGCCCCGGCCCTGATGGTCTGAGCGCGCCGCCCCTGCCCACCCCAGCCCTCCCCCGGACCCCCGCCGCGGCGAGGCCACACCATGTGAAGGTGGGAGTCCGGACACCCCGAGGAGCCGCCGCCGGGAAAGATGGGGGATGCCGCGGACCCCCGGGAGCTGAAGAAGACGTTCATTGTTCCAGCCATCAAGCCCTTTGACCACTATGATTTCTCCAGGGCCAAAATCGCCTGCAATCTGGCCTGGCTGGTGGCCAAAGCCTTTGGAACAGGTCAGTGCTGTCTTCCCTCTTCCTCCTCCTGACGTGCACATCCTGGTTTTTGTTCCCGAGCCGCGCATCCCCCTCCACGCGTGTCTTCTCGAATAGGTTCAGGGCGATGGAGGGGAGATCAGGAAGAGGAGAGAGGGCCGGTTTGGGCTTCAAAGAAAGGGCCCTTGAATGGGCAGGTGGGTTTCGGCCCGGTTCCTTTTGTTGGGTAGCAGAAGTGTTTTTCTTTTTCTTTCTTTCTTTCTTTCTTTTTTTTTTTTTTTAATCACTGAGGAATTTTGTCGTGTTTTCCACTCAGATTTTAATTAGTGCATTTTTTTCTCACTGTGCTGCATCCATTCCTGCCCTCGGTCCTGATCGCGACCACACTACCAAGAAATCCGAGCTGGTTTCTTCATCAGTGGAAGGAGGCGGAGGGCACGCAGCGCTGTATTGATTTTGACATTTGTGGTGATGGCCGCTGCTCAGGCTCCGCTGGCTGGACGGTGGCCTGTTGCAAAATGCAGCCTTAATTGTGTTGTCGTTCTTGAAGCCTGCACTAGCCCTCCGTAACATTTCAGGATCACATTGTTCAATCAGTGTTCAGTTTGATGACCACGGGCCACTATTTTCCTTTCATGTTATCAGAGACATTGCTTTTTCCAAATGTATTGTGTCTAAAGAAATTCAGAGAAGCAAAAACTCCCTACCTTGGTTAATTTCTTTTTCATAGCAGCGTGCTGTGGACACAGACGTTGTATAGTGCAGTAGCACTTTAACACTCCCTCTGTAACCCAGGCTTTGCAAAACAACAGGAAAAGGGCCTCCTGCTGTAATTCCTTAGCTGTAGCTTTAGGAGCCAGAGTTGCAGAATGCTGAGAAAAATTAGAGAGCTGCTTCTCGTTGGAAGATGCTCTTGTAATTTAGTCTGGTAACTTGTTAGAGTCATTTTCTAAGATTTCTGTTGACTCGTTAATGAATATTGAATATATAAAATGTTTATGGAAAAGTTCCTTAGCATTTGCAAACTTTTCTCCACATGTTAAATATAGATACTTTTGGAAGAGTGCTGATTTCCGATTTGTTTTCAGTATTTGCCTCATCTTAACCAGTAGATGAGTCTCAGTACTTGGAAAATTATTTGAATTCACTTTTTGGGAAAACCTCATGTTGATGTAATTTTGTTTATGACAGTTTTAATTTTGTTTGAATTCTCATGCTTTGATATTGAACTGCCATCGGAACAAAATACAGTAAGTCTTTTTGAAAAAACTTAAATTTTAATGTTTCTTTGGAAATATTACGCATAGGAGGAAGCACAAAAATTTTTTTTTTCCTTTTGAATTTCTGGCACCATTGATGTAAGAAGTAAGAATAACAGATGTATTTTGGTTTTACCTTAAGCCATTGAAGTTAATATCTATTTGAAAGGTAAATGAAGGACATTTAAGTATTTAGAAAAATGGAGAGAGGGTAGTAACCTAAGTGGAAAAGTAGTATTACGAAATAGAAGAGAGAATAAGAGAAATTATTTTCTTTCTATTTGAAACTGAGAGGGTACTTACAGTACAGATGTCAACATTCTGCTGTACATGCACAGACAGCTAACCAGCAAATGGCCTGCTTTCTGGACATGTGTCAGCGAGGTTACTAGATCTGGACCACTTGATGAGACACGTTAAATACACTTGAAGAAGAAAGAAAGTGAAAGGCATGTAGTATCAATGGAATCTGTGTTGGCCAGGTGCTGTGCTAGATGCTGGGTGTTAAGTGTTATGTTTGGGGTTCACAACACCTCTGACATAGTGTGTTCCTCAGTTTAAAAAATATGGGAACCAGCATACAAAGAGGTTACAACTTCATACCATCTCACTGCTGGTAAGAAGCAGAGATGTTTCCCCTTGAGATCTGACCCTAATGAGTAAAATATTAGTGGAGGGGGACATACTTGTTAGATGCCAGTGCTCTAAATACATTACTCCATTTATTCCTATGGTAACCCTGTTGATATTGTTCTCATTTTGCAGATGAGGGAACAGAGAGATAAATTTACACAAGATTAAACATCTGCCAAGTGGGGGCTTTCAGACCCTTTTACTCTATCATTCTGCAGAATGAGCTTATCTGCAAAAATATGCACACAATACATATTAAAGTTTTTGTTTTTTTAAGATTGGGCAGATCCTAACTCAGTTGCAGATGGTTTAGATGAATATTGTTGGTACTTAGCTAACAACTTTTGGTAGTAGTTGGGACAGATAAAAAGACCATATTCAAGGAGGGGTATGAAAAACAAGTTTATGAGACTTTAAGAGATTGACTTAGTAGCAAGAAATTAATACAATGTTATGAATATTATGTTTGTACATTTTGTATACCATTTGTCAACAGTTCTCCAGAACAAATTTATGTGGTAAAAGTTAATAGAAAAAGTTTTAATTTTTTAATGTGAATATTTACCAACACTGTTATGCCTAAAAGGTTAATAGAAAATACATTTCAAAGATATTACCTAATTGCATTCAGTTATTCAAAAAGCCCAACTGCAAGTATGATTTACTAAAATCACTTCTTTAACAATGCTATATTAGGTTTTCAGGCACCTAACATTTTTCTGTCAGAAACATTTAACTTTTGACATTGAAAATGTAGTCAATAATAGAACCATATGTTGGAGCAGTCTTTGAAAGTGACAGCTAGAAATCAATTGTGGGCATAAAATGAAGTGATCGAACCATAAAAAATAAAGTACAAGCACTATAATACTTAGAAAGCAGATGTGGAGTATTTACTTAATCTGAAGTCTCATGTCAGTAGCTTCTCTTAATGTTTCTCTTCATACTAAAAATATTCAAAATAGCCCAAGTGTTAAGTTTATTTTGTGAAAGAATGCAGACAGTTTTATGCTTTTTTTTTTTTTTTTTTTTTTTAGATTTACTTATTTGAAAGAGAGAGAGAGAGAGAATGTGCGCAAGAGCATGCTGTTTCGTCTGGTGGTTCATTCCCCAGATGCCCATGACAGCCAGAATTGGGCCAGGCTGAAGCCAGGAGCCAGAAACTCTGTCTGAGCCTCCATGTTGTGGTAGAAACTCCACCATCAATTTCTGAGTCTCAGGTGCATTAGCAGGAAGCTAGATTGGAAGCTGAGGAGCCGGGACTCCCAACTGCCATTAAGATAGGGGATATAGGTCCCAGGTGGTGGCTTAACCTGTTCTGCTACTATGCTGGCTCCAACACATACAATTTTAATCAAATAAAGAATAATTTTGTGTAGATGAATTTGAAGCAATAAAGATACTCCAATTACTTTAAGTGAATTGTGAAAGAGAAAATTAACTTTCTGTAGCCTCTACTACTCTATTTAAGGAGCTTAATTCAGTTTAAGCTATGATATTACTGAATTCCCTTTGGGGGCAATGGTATTCACAGAACCTCTGTGACACTCTTCTGTACAAAATTCTTGAATTTTAAGTTCTTAATGTAGAATTCAAGGCCCACTTCCTAGTGTCATTTCATCATTTCAGTCTTACCAATTATCATTCTTCTTTTTATTCCATTTAGTTTAGTGATAAAACCATTTGCTATTAGAAATTCATCTTGTTATATTTCTTTGTGTATCCCAACAGATCTTGTCAAAATCCTAGGTAAGATCTTACTCTAACATATGTATGAAGATTGAGAGAGCAATGGGTAGCATTGTGGTGAAGAGAGGATCAGGCAGAGATACTATTTGGGGACATTACAGCAGGAATCTGGGCAAGAGATGATGAGGACTTGAAGTAAGGCGGAAATAGTAATAAAACTGTTACTCTTTAATTGAGCATTTTCTGTGTCCAAACACTTTATACATATTGTTTCATTTTAATCCTTATGACAGTCTTACAAGGTGGAAACTGTTAATCATTGCAGTTTTACTGATGAGGAAAGTGAGGCCTGGAGGTTTGGAAACTCATCCGGAGCCCACAGCTAATGGAGCTTGGATCTGACCTGGGGAATCTGACTTAAGTCTGTGTTCAGCCACTATACTGTAGGGTAGAAATTAAAAGAATAGAAATGATAGAAAAAGAAGTTGCAGAGATTTAATCACTAGTATTTCTAAAAGGCTGAATTTGGCATGTATGAGGGAGAGAATATATGAGGGTAAAGATCACCTAAAGTTCTCAGGAGGATAAGGATTTTTTTTTTAAAGATTTATTTATTTGAAAGTCAGAGTTATGCAGAGAGAGAGAGGTTTACTTCCCAATTTGCTGCAATGGCCAGAGCTGCGCAGATCCAAAGCCAGGAGCCAGGAGCTTCTTCCGGGTCTCCCACGAGGGTGCAGGGGCTCAAGTACTTGGGCCATCCTCTACTGCTTTCCCAGGCCATAGCAGAGAGCTGGATTGGAAGTGGAGCAGCCAGGACTGGAACTGGCAGCCGTACGGGATGCCAGCACTGCAGGCGGCTTCACCTGCTATGCCACAGCGCTAGCCATTGAGGATAAGGATTTTGAGGTTAGTGGCTGCAGGGATCAAGTGTGATGCCTTGGTAGACCACAGCAAGTTGGAATGGAAGGCAGCTTTGTTCTTGAAAACCCTGAACTGGATGGTTAGCTTAATATCTTGTCTGAGAAAACCAGTGACATAGGTAGCTATAAATGCAGGTCTGCAGTACAGCTGAGAAGGAGAGGCTAGAAATAATCATTTGGCAATCTGTTATTAACACAGCAATTGAATTGAAAGTAGGTGAATTGTAGAGAGAAGAAATTCAAGAAAGAATCTAGAGCAGTGGATACTTAGAATGGGGGTAGGGGGTAGCTGAGGAAAAGGGGGCTGAGTAAGTGCAATTAGTTAGCAAGAGAATTAACAAAGTGTAATAGCACTGAAGCCATGACAGGAGAGAGTTTCAAGGGGAGCTGTCTAATGAGCAGTCACATGCTATAGTTTAAACCATGCCTTTAAGAGTTTATATTCTAGGGGCCAGCGCTGTGGCGCAGCAGGTTAAAGCTCTGGCCTGAAGCGCCAGCATCCCATATGAATGCCGGTTCT